AAGATAAAATCAAGTTCCTTACTTCAGTTCGATACCAATCACTAAACCCTTCTGGAAACCTTTGATTTCTTAGATCTGGCCACTGCTGGAATGAATGAATGAATGAATGAATGAATGAATGAGAAATTCAAAATCAAAGGATTTATTTTGTTTATTCATAAGAACAGATTTGAAAATGTAGCATTGCATCAGTGTCTCAGCAATGGATGCTCTGCAGTGAATGGGTGCCGTCAGAATGAGAGTCCAAACAGCTGATAAAACATCACATTTGTTTCAAAAAAACATTTGTTACACAGCTTTTGTCTTCTCCAGATTAACTGATGGACTGGAGTGGTGTGGATCACTTGTGGATTATTGTGATGTTTTTATCAGCTCTCATTCTGACGGCACCCATTCACTGCAGAGCAAGGGATGCAATGCTACATTTCTCCAAATCTGATGAACAAACAAACTCATCTACATCTTAGATGGCCCAAGGGTGAGATCATTTTCAGAGAATTTCCATTTCTGGGTGAACTATTCCTTTAAAATATGTTTGTTTGTTTTTCGCAGATATGGGTAATAACTGTGCATACTATCACTACGGATGATTGTCATGAAATGCTACTGACCTTCGCTCTCTCGCTACCAGTAGATATGTCCCAGATCATCTCAAACCATACGAGTCCAAGGGGAAATATGTCTGTTTTTTCATCATAATTCTTCTTATTTTTCTAAGGAAAACAAAGATTTTTTAAAATTCATTTATTTATTGTGCAAAAAAAGAGGACACAAAATACATTTCTATAAGGTGTAAATATTTATCTTAGAGACAATAAAAATGTGTCACCTGTTCAGGACTCATATATGCCCAAAGTCTCCGATCTTCACTTTGCCATCAGCACCAAACAGTATGTTATCAGGCTAAAAGGGAAAGTACACATGGTCAAAATGCTTATCTGTTAATCTAATTATCTGTTATCTAGCAACAAAAATGAAATACCTTCAAGTCTCTGTGGATGAGCTTGTTTGCATGGATGTATTCCACTCCAGTGATAAAGTTCATAAAATATTTGATGGATTTCCAGTGTGGTTCTATGTTTTTCCATATGAAAAACATATTTTTTCATATTTCCTCCCTCACAGAACTCCATCTGAATAAATAAATATGTCCTGCTGCTGAAATAAGAGAGAAAAAACAGGCATGACTCATGAGTCAATATTGAACATTGCAATGCACAGTATTGTCTTAAATGAGTCATATCATTCTAATTCTATTCTATTTTAAAAAGAACTTGCCCCTTTTAGACTTGCACTCTATTTATTTGGATAAAAGCATCTGCTAAATGTAAATGTTTTTTTTTTCAAATCATACATTTTGTCTTTGAGTCAATGTTTCTTGCACCAAATCATTCATAATTTATTTTAAGCCCATTTTCAACTCTTTTGCCTGTCCCTTAAAATTAAATATTTTTAAATTCTAACCAAACCAAATGCAACTAATATACATACTGTATATATATATATAAATGAACGAACAAAGAAAGGAAGGAACTAAAATGAATGAATTAATAAATGAATTATTGAATGAATGAATTAAATTCTTCTGTGATTTTTTTTGTGCCACAATCATTACAGCTGTTCTTTTTAAAATTAGATATGACTTTGTGACATGTATAAACTTACCTGGTTAAGATCACCCTCTAAACGCTGGCCAAGCTTTGCAATCACATCAAAGCTATGAGACAATCTATAGATGATACACACAGTACACACGTCAGAAAGCAATATACAGCAGAACATCATTATGCATTATCCTTTAACAGAACATTCATTTAAAACATTTCTCTTTGTTATATCTGAATTAATTAAACAAGACACAAGACTGTCAGGTCCAGTATGCTTACCATGAAATTGAGTCGAGTGCATGATCACTGGAACTAATCAAAAACAAATCATTTTAAATTATTATACAAAATTCTGGCACACTAAATGCAAATACTCATAAATCACAGTTTTTAATGACATAACACAAACCTCTCTTGGCTGGAACTTTCCTCGCTCCACTCCTTATTCTGAGTCCACACCTTGAGGCCTTGTCTCGACTGTCCCAGGTCTCTGGCGATCTGATGGGCTTTCAAACCTCCTGATCTCAGCAGATCCTCACCAATGGCTAGAGGAAGGCCTTTAACTCTTTTGTTGTACTGGCTGGACTGGTGTTTTTGTTCTTGAACAGAATTCTTCTGCGCCACTGACATAGCAGACTGGACGTCACTGATGAGCGATGCAACATAATGGCCGTAGTCACAAACTGACTTGTCCCGCAGAACACTCTGGAACATAAGGTCAACTGGCAACCGTGGTACTCTGCCAAACATTAAGTAAAAAGGGGCAAAACCTGTTGTTTCGTGTGCTGTACAGTTGTACACAAATGTCATGGTCTGTACCAACTGCGGCCACTTCTGCTTAGGTCTAGGTGGAAGGGACCTCAGCATGTTACCTAATGTCCTATTGAATCTTTCGGTACCACCATTCTCCATCGGGTGGTAGGGGGTGGTTCTTGACTTATCGATGCCAGCCAGTTTGAGAAGCTCAGTGATCAGCTCACTCTCCAATGAAGCCCTCTGGTCAGAATGGACGCGTTGGGGAAATCCATAGACACAGAAGAAGCCGTCCCACACTTTCTTGGCCACTCTTTTTGCTGTTTGGTCTTGACACGGAAATGCATGTGCCAGCTTTTTAAAGTGATCCGTGATTACTAAAACATCCACAGATTTGTTGTTCCGATCTTCAGCAGACCAGAAGTCGATGCAAACGAGCTCCAGTGGGGCTGTGGTTTTAATACTCTCCAAGGCAGCTCTCGCTGCAGGCTCTGGAGTTTTGCTGAAGACACACCTGGGGCACTTCTTCACATAATCCTGCACATCACGCTCCATATCAAGCCAGAAAAACCTCTGACGGGACAAAGACAAAGTGCGCGGCTGCCCTTGATGACCAGTCAGGTCGTGAACGCCAGAAAGTGCTTGACATTTTAAGGATTCGGGCAAAATGAACTGAAATCTCTTGTGCTTGGCGAGCGGGTCTTTAATAACTCTGTACAGGATTCCATTTAGCACTGAAAGTTTGTCGCACTGCTTCAGAATCCACAACACATACAGGTTTTCAGTTTTCACTGACAGGTTCACGTCTTGATGGTCTATGCTTTCTGTCAACATAATAACACACTCTGGCAATGACAGGGTCTTTGTGCTGATGTTCTCATAAGTCGGTAAGCGAAAGGGAATGTAACACTTCTTCGTCACCGCTGATTAAAGAGTTAAGATGTTCAGTGAATGATGTTGCTCTACATTCGGTTACTGTTTTCCACTCATCACAGGAGGACAGAACTGAAGTCACGTCATCTGCGGACAGTGATGTATTCAACCCGACGTCAAGTGGACCTGATCTCAATGTTTGCGGTTGACAGGTAAGTCGGAACTCTTCTTGCACACTTCCATCCTCAACACTGTGCACTTGCCTTAACAGTTCATAATAGGGCTCTGACAGAAGCCGCTGACTCACTGGCCTGACAAATGGATCCCTACTGAGTGCGTCCGCAACCACGTTGAGTTTCCCAGGAACATATTTGATCTCAAAAGAAAATGGAGCAAGTTTCGAGACCCAGCACTGCTCACATGCATCCAACTTCGGCTTGGTCATAATGTATGTAAGCGGATTATTATCCGTCTACACAGTAAACTCATGGCCTTTAAGCCAGTGACTGAACTTGTCACACACTGCCCACTTAACTTTAATTACTTTTTGAATATTGTAATATTCTCTTCCTTTATTATCTGATTCCCAAATCTTTGTTTGTCAGTGTTGCTTTTAAATAATGTTTTTAATTTTTTAAAAGGGAAATCTCTATTTTGTCATTATGATTTAACACTTTTTTCGCAAATTTGTCGGCTAATTAATTTCCTTGCAGGGATCATGTTTAGAGTTTTGGGGGCCCTAAGCAAGCAATTGCATGGTTTGTGTGGTACCTAAACACACTACTGTTTCCTTGAACTGCTGTATGTGCTGGTATCCAACAGAATTTAATATTTTTTTGTAATTTTTCTAAGTTTAGCAGTGCTTTGTATATTTCTATTAGAATGTCATAGTTGTTTTACTAGTATTTAATACTCTGTACTGCTGCTGCTGTAATGCAGATGGAGAGGAAATGCTGTTTTTTTTTCATTCATGTTCAATCTACTTGAAAAGCAATAAAATACACTTGAGTACCCAAATGATGCCCTGCATATCTCGCATGTATTTCAGGATTACCGTGTGCGTTTCTGGATCTGTTGCTTGCTTGTGCAAGTGTGGTAGATTATGATACTGTTTTGACTCTATATGTGTCTCATTAATGGAAATGCGAGCACTTTTTACACTGTCAGAACTCATATTGATGATATTAATGACACATATTTTCTTTCTTACTTTCTTTTTATTCCACCCAACATATACAGTATATTTGTCAAGAAATACCTCATGGCTGAAAGTCAATTTGAGCAGCAATGATTCCAGCAACCACAAAATATTTTCATATTATACAATACTGCATTTTGGTTGCAGTTTAGTTACAACATTATGTTGTAAACATTATGAAACATTATCTTTTAGTTGCAATTACATCAAATGTAAATACATCTTAATTTCATGCAGCCAACATTACAGAAATGTTGTGAAATTGTTATTCTGTATTTCTACAAGAAACCTCACAACAATATTATGATGTATTTTTATGATGAAAACAAAATGAGAGTAAACTTTTGAAATATTAAAAATATACTAGAAGAAATCTAGTAGAAATCTAAAAATTATTTTTTTTATAAAATCACTCCCCAAATGTTCAACATTTTATGTTTTATATTATTAATTGAATCATTAAATTATGAATAAATCAACATGTTGTTGCCTGTCAGGAGTAATCTGTGGTAAATCGTTAAATCGAGAGGACTCAACTACCACTGCAGACAGTTTCTATCACAAAAATCTCAAATTGTTTTCTGGCTTAACAGATCCTGTTCCAGAGAGAAAAACGTCTTAAGATCTATTTTTATATCTTTTGCATGTGGCCTGTCCTCAGGTGAATGTGACAGCATCTTCATGATGAACATACTCTGAAAAAGAAGCAAAAAAATTATACTTGGTCCAGTCAATATTTATTTGAAGGTAAAGTCAAGTTTTTTACTTCAGCTGAATATTTGTCACTGAACCCTTCTGGAAACCTTTGATTTCTCAGATCTGGCCACAGCTGCAATGCCAAAAAAATAATGAATGAATGAATGAAATTAAAGATAACATTTTTGCAAATATCTGTAAAGACAGTGAATACAGTCACTAATGATGACTGTCATGAAATAGTACTGACCTCTACTCTCTCCATACCAGTAGATATTTCCCAGACCATCTCAAACAATATGAGTCCAAGAGGAAAAATGTCAGTTTTTTCATCATAATTCTTCTTATTTTCCTAAAGTAAACAATTATATATATATCTTATTGGTATTAATTAATGAAAAAATAAAATGTGATGTGTCAATAAAAATGTGTCACCTGTTCAGGACTCATATATGACGGAGCTCCGAATATAATTCGAATTAACAATTTGTTTCTACGACGTCAGCAGGTTTTATTCTTTTTAAAATTAATTTATTATTATTTATTAATTTTAAGTAATAATAATTTTAATAAGTAATTACGAAATATAATAATTCGTTCCACGATTTAGACCTACTAAAACTAGGGAACGAACGAATTAACGAACGAATGAATTCGTGGCAGCTAAGCCTAAACAAGAGAACAAATACTTAATTCGTGGCCATAATGTAGTCCTAGCATAAAAGAGAACTAGCCTATTCTAAATTCGTTGGCCGTGATTGTCTGCATGTCATGATCGGGGCTCCGTACAACGGAATTTAACCTTAGCCTACCTGTTTATTCATTTATTATGGTATGCTCACCTTTTGCGGCACCATGTTTGCGTAGCACATCCTCCTGCTTTCTGGCAGCGCTGAGCGTTTTGAGCGAGCGGAGCAGAATCTTCAGAAAGGCTCTTAAGGAAATATTACCACTCCGCTCACATGCTCTGGTTGAGTGAGTGCATCAGACGAGACGACGAAGAAGTGCTGCTGCAGAGTTAGTGCATCAGAGAGAGTACAGTGCCAGATTCGCCAAAAGCTTTTTTTGAAAGACAGAGCAAGGGGCAGGGCAGTACTGAAACACTGTCTAAGCTGTTCGCCAATCACAACACACTGGGACAGCTAACCAATCACAACACATTTTGTTTTTCGGAAGGCGGACCTTCATCAAAGCCGGAACTAATCGAGCCGTTTGTGCCAGGCTGGGGAGAAAGGTATTTTAATAATGTAAATTATGTGAAAAATAATGCGTTTTTCGAACCACCAAGCATGAGAGCATGTTCTAGTACACCCCCAAAACAAAATCAAGACTTTGTAAAAGAGCATAATAGGACCCCTTTAAATAATGCAGCAAATAAAATGAAATACCTTCAAGTCTCTGTGGATGAGCTTGTTTGCATGGATGTATTCCACTCCAGTGATAATTTCATAAAATATTTTATGGATTTCCAGTGTGGTTCTATGTTTTTTCAAATCATTTCTCGCCTGTATCCAACTAGTCAGAGTTCCTCCCTCACAGAACTCCATCTGAATAAATAAATATGTCCTGCTGCTGAAATAAGAGAGAGAAAAAACAGGCATGACCCATGGATGAATATTTAACATTGTGAGGTATTATATTAAAGCTGTCATATCATACATTTTTTTAACATTTTATTTTTCTCCTGATTGCATTTTAATTTTCTCCACCCTTAAAATGAAACAGGATGTGTTTGCTGCTGTGCCTCATTTAATGTGAACTGACTAACAGCATTTACTCAGAGTTTGCCTTCTGGTTTCATATTGTTTAAACTGCTCCACCCTTCAATAACAGCCTCTTTCATCACATTATGACAGATTCTAGAAGCAATCTGTGTTGAAATGTGCCACTCAAACTGTTCAGATCTTTTTCAAACTATTGGCATTCTTCAGAGCGAATGGCAGAGCAGCAGTTTGATTTAATTAGATGTTGTTGTTTTTTTTGGACAAGTTTTGAGTTATATATATATATATATAGTAAAATAAATGCATCAATACAATTCATAAATATCATTATTGAGAAGCACTGTATGCTCAAATGATTAAAAGCACCAGAGGCTTACTTGGACACTTGGTTTCTTTGCTGGTTTGATGTCCAGATATCAGGACCATGCCAAGATGTAATGTAACGCACTATGTTTGGGTGCTCTAGTTGGGCCAGTGCCTTCACCTCAGAATCAGCTTTCCTAAATAATAACAATAAAATAATAAACAAACTTTTTTCTGTGACATGATGAAAACTGTTCTTCCAAAAATGTAATGTATAAACTTACCTGGTTAAGATGACCTTCTTCAAAGCATAGATTTTGCCATCAATTTTATGTTTAACTTTATAAACGCAACCATAGCCTCCATCACCAAGCTCTGTGATCATTTCAAATAACCTATAAATGATGCATTCATGTAAAACATTTTAACATACAGCAAAAATGTATTGTATGTTCATTATGTTTTATCACTATAAACATAAAATTAATTTCTTCCTTAAAGAGTTAAACAAAGTTAGATGCTAAAGTCAGGTTCTGTTTACTTACTCTGAATGTGAGCCCGGTTTACCGTCTTGTAGATATGAATCACTGATAAACAAGAAAAGGAACTAATCAATAACAAATCATTTAAAATTATTATTCAATACACTGCCTAGGGTGACCACATGTCCTCTTTTTTGACCTAAAAAAATGCTCCCACTGAATTTCTGACCATTGCCGCCTGCTCCCACAACATGTGTTTTGCTCCCGCGATTTTCGTGTCCACTCCTATAAACAGTCTAATTTTGTAGGCTATATCATTTTGGCACATCTGGGACCCGCTCTCAGTATGCAGAGTATTTAAATCTCTTTTGAATGAGTGTTTGCACTGTTCACTTTCGATTTCGTGATCACACGCACTCTGTGTAAAGAAAGCACATCTTACAAGATCAGATATTTGTCAATGAGCTCAGGATCTGTTGAGCAGCAAATACTCCAGCACGGTCTTGTCAGTCATCTCTCCTTATTCTCCACCTGGGATCAGTCAAAGCTGACTCCTGCAGCTCTTCTTGGATGCAGGGTTGCCAAGTCTGTGTTTTTTCCCACAGAATTGGGCTACTTTGAAACTGTTGCCATGGGTCGATTTTCCCAAGTGGGTTAAAGGTTTTAAATATTGCAAAACTTAACTTACATTAACTGTTCCCTCCTGGTGGGATGACCTGCCCAACTAAATCCAAGCAGCTGAGTCCTTAATCATTTTCAAGAAACAACTGAAAACACATCTCTTTCATCTTCATTTCACCCTCTAAATCTAGAGCTCTCTTCTAATGCTACTTCCAATTTGATCTGCTTGTTTTTTTAATTAAAAAAACGTAACCCTCTTAACATTTGCACTCTCTATTCTATTTCTATTCTGACTACTTGTTTAATAATAAAAAAGAGCCTTTAACTCTAGCATTCTCTATTCTTTGTCTATTCTTTTTACTTATTTTATTTTTGTTTATTATAAATAATGACCTTCTAACACTTGCATTATCTATTATTATTGTTCTGTTCTATTGACTTGTTTTATTTGTATTTATTATAATAAAAAAAAACAAGCAAAAATAAAAACTTGCTGATGCATACTGTGTTGGGCAAACCCCGCCTCCACTGTCCTCTTTTTGGAAAACTAAAATATGGTCACCTTAATGGTGTGGCCACACCAAATGCAAAGAGTCACAGTTGTGAGTGTTTTAATAAAATTAACACAATGCAAACCTCTCTTGGCTGAAACTGTCCTCGCTCCACTCCTTACTCAGAGTCCACACATTGCTTAGGCTACATTTCTGTACTTTCCCCTTCTCCATCATACTGTACAGCTGTTTGTTGGTGGTTTGTCTCGACTGTCCCAGTTCTCTGGTGATCTGATGGGCTTTCAAACCTCCTGATCTCAGCAGATCCTCCACAGGTTTCTCCTCGCTTGTGTCTCTTGTCGTCTGAGGCTCTGGTTTGAGTGTCTGTTTGATTTCACTCGTCTCCTCCAGAAGATCCCAAACTGGAGGCGTCTCGTTAGTTCCTGACACCTGATTAGATTTCTGTAGGCTGTACAAATGCTTGTTCACGATGCGTTTATCTAGTCCGACTTCTTTCGCGATTTTCAACGCGTTGCTTTTGCCGTTTCGCCTCAAGACGTCACAGATCTTTTTCTCTATTTCAGCGTCTCCAGACATTTTGCTTCTGTCCCAAGGTTTTTAATGCAGTTACAGTTGCTGTCAGATTGATGTCTTCTACCCTCTCTGGTCGGTCTAGAGACTGAAAGTCTCAGAGTTCCGCGTCGGTATTTAAACTTTCAGTTTCGATAATAACAAGCCCAGCTCTAGGTTTCCAATTGTCACCATCCTAAACTCTTATTACGCAAGTTAGCATATACAGTACACAACACACCAGTACAGAAGAATGGAATGCTTATGTATCATTATTGTGTTTGTCATCATATACATAGTAGCACTGATCTATATGTGACCGAGTGGATAATAAGGATGGTGTATGGGGTGGGGCATAGCTATTTATTTTGCCCTATAAATAGCGCAAAGGTTGGCAGGTTGCGTAATCTTCTGACGCTTGATCCTTTCAGTCTCCTTCTGGTGTCGTGACCCTGAAGCGCTATAGCGAGGTATGAGCGTGGTACATGCTGTAAGAGCTTGTATAAGGATGTTTTTGTTTTTTACATGGTTTATTCTGTTAATTGCAGAGAGATAACCCCCTGATGCAAGAGTGTGAGCGCGTGGACTGCGCGTAATATTATGCAAGTCGCGGACGCCGTGTTTCGTCTTTAGCAACGAGCTGTATCACGCAGGGTTTTTATTCCACTCTATTATGCAGTGTTTCTAGTCCACTTTCACAAGTTATTTTTTATTTTGTTATTATTGATTTTGTCAGCTGTGTCCTGTTTGTACCAACCCCTAGGGGTCTATATGATGTGTGGAGAAAAGGGGAGTTTTTAACCCATTTTTCTATATTCTAGGAGCCAGCCTGCATGGGAGCACTTTCCTCTGGGGGTCATCTGGGTCCTTCCTCTACTGCATGTGGCGTGAGGTTATTCTGCACTGCATGGGTATTGATTTGAGAGTGTAGAGTTGTTTGTATTATTCACTACACCTTTTTAAATTTGTTAGTTGGTGTGAGGTGTGTGTGCGCTTTTGAGGTTGTGGGTCTTTGGCCCAGTGACTTTTTCTTCCCGCAGGCTTGGTTGATCTTGTATACAGGAATTGTGGGTTACAATTTTTAATATTTGACTTGGGAGTCTAGACATCTTAAAATTGAGTTTCTCTCTTTTTTAGGTGGTTATAAATGTGAAGTTGATC